GGTGGTGGCGCACGCCTTTAGTCCCAGCACTCGGGAGGCAGAGGCAGGCGGATCTTTGTGAGTTCGAGGCCAGCCTGGTCTCCAAAGCGAGTTCCAGGAAAGGCGCAAAGCTACACAGAGAAACCCTGTCTGGGGGCGGGGGGTGAGGGTGGGGGAGCCCCTCCTGCTAATGGTGGGATGGAGTCAGCAAGGGGGCAGAGAGTAGTAATGGGGATCATTTGTTGCCGAGGTGTGTTGGATTCAATAGGAAAGTCAGGTTTCCTCTTGACCTTGTTTTATATTTTAGAGGAAAAAGATTATTTGCCTCCATCAGGAATTAATTAAAAGACAGCCCATGTCCTGCTTCCTGGTCTGGATTGCAGAATTTACAGCCAAGAAGAAAATGTATTTTTGAAAGTGCAGCGTCTGGCCTCATCCCTCACTAATTGACACCCCATCTGCTGATGCCATTTTTTCCCTTCCTGTTCTCCCCACTCCCCAGGAAGAAGCAAGAGAGCTCATGTTTGGTAACTGCTAAAATCTTTTTAAGGGGGGAAAAAAGTATAATAAAGATTTCAACTCCTTGGCCTACTTAATTGGTTTCTACAGAGTGAGTCTAACTTGTGTGTATGTCTTTGAGAAAGTTAGGATGTATGTACCCACATGGCAGACATCCAGAGGCTTCTGGGAACATTTTAAGAGTGTTTGTTTGAATGCTTAATTTTGAAGTGCCAATGTAAGACACCCATGTGAATTTTTGGGACTCAGCAATGTGATTTTTTTTTTAAGCCCAAAGGCTTCTGATACATGGCCGTCAGCATTATAGCATTTTTGGCAAGCAATTCCCTCAGCATGCTGATGAGGCAGTGAGATCGTTAGCTCTGATGAGCAAATTTAACTTAATGGTAAGTTGATAGCATTTTATATCAAAGTTGGACAAGTAGGGACTAAAAACCAAGTTTCATGACAACCCCTAGAGAAAGTTTGTGCTTTCAGATACTGGGAAGCCTATCTCTGGACTTCTCCTAAGATAGTCATTTACTGGAGGTTATGTGGCATGGAGGTTTTCACCCTCGAAGGGGATTTTAAAGCAATAAACTAGGTTTAATACCAGTGCCATCAAGAAACGATTACTGGGCTGGAGAGGTGGCTCAGCAGTTAAGAGCTCCTCTGCCAGCAACCTGGGTTCAATTCCCAGCACCCACGTGGCAGCTCATAACTGTAACTTCAGTTCCAAGGAATCAGATACCCTCACACAGACATACATGCAGGCAAAACACCAATGCACATAACAGTAAACAAATCTTTAAAAAAAGGAAACCATCACTGACACAATGCTTGATTTTCATTTTGGGTGATTTCATCCCACTGAGTTTCTCACAGTTGCACAGTAATCTTCATCTTTATCTTGAAAAAATTCAAGTATCCTTTTGGGTCACATTTTCAAACTTACAGAAAGTAAATAAAACCCCAAAGCAGCTAGTGTATAGACTTAAGACTGGGTGATGCTTTGAGGTGGTGGCAGTGAGGAGAGTGACTTGTGCGGCTGGAGATGGCAGGAAATAGGTCAGCTCTGCTGGGTTGAGGAGGTACTATTACAGGAGACGCACTTAAAAGAAATTAGTTTGGGACTGGAGAGATGGCTCATGGGTAAGAGCACTGGCTGCTCTTCCAGAGGACTGGGTTTCGATTCCCTGGACCCACATGGCCACTCACAATCATTAGTAACTCCAGTTCCAGGGGATATGACACTCTGGCCTCTGCTGGCACTGATTGCACATGGTACAGACATGCTGCCAACATACTCATGAGATACAGCTTAGCTTTGCTGAATTAGAGCTGTCAAATAGTGTCGGTTCGCTCACAGGAGCCTTTGGAGTTTGCAGAACCCAGGAAAACAGTGACGGAGTGAATTTCCTTTTCTTTGATACTAAGGGGTCTCCAGCCTTAGTGAGCACGGAAAGGCGATGAGGATTGGAGTCACCCATCTTTTATAGTGTTTAACCGGCTCTGTGCTCTATACCCTTCCTGTCATATTTCAGATGACAGGAAAAAAACAGAGAGGGTCAATAATTTGAGCCCAGACAGGATAACTCGGCCCATGTCAGGAGTAGTACTTAACAGGGAAGCAAAATGGGACATGCCTTGTTCTCCTGTCCTTTGTCTCCAACTCAAGGTGGACAACAGAGAATGTCCTGGGACTTTAAAATGCGGGTCTCAGGGTCCAGCCCGCAGCTTCAAACGCCCTAAAGCTGTCAGTTAAGTATCAATGAGTTTTTTAAAATAAATGATCAATTTTTGTACTGCCCCCAGAATGTTGGCTTTGTTTTTGAATAATTTGTCCCTAATTGCGTATTTTGTTGACGTTAGATCCCAAATTCAGAAAAGATTATAACTGTCAATGGGGGGGGGGGATGAGAACTAAGAAACAGTATCTACTACTTCAGTAACAAAAGACAAAGGTCAGAGGACAGCCTCAACCTATCAGCAGTCTGTGGGGGCGGAGCGAGGCCCGGGCAGGCCACGCCTCTCACCCCGCCCCCAACCTGCGCCACGCCCCCTGCAGCTCTCCGGAGCTGGTCGATGCTGCCCCCTGGTGGCAGCGGCTGCACAGCGCGTTCCCCCCTTACACACCCCCAAGCCGCGGCTGCGGCTGCGCAGTGCCGCCCTCTGCCGGCCCGGCTCCTTCCTCCCTCCCATCGGCCTCGGCTTGCGGGCCTTTCAAACATGGAGGAGCGCGAGTGGGGGGCGAGGTCGGCTCGCGCCGGCAGCCCGGCCAGCCCGCCCAGCCCGCGGCTGGACGTCAGCTCCTACAGCTTCGACCCGCTGCTGGCCCTGTACTCGCCGCGCCTGCCTCCCATCCCCTACCCCAACGCGCCCTGCTTTAACAACGTGGCGGAGTACGAGAGCTTCCTGAAGGGCGGGCGCACCGGGCGCGGCCGGGCGCGGGGCACCGGGGAGCCGGCCTCGGCGGGAACCTCCACCGGAACCTCCACGGGAGCCGGGACCTCGAGCAGGGCCCGGCGCCGCGCCGCGCCCACCCCAGATCCCGAGCGCATCCAGCGTCTGCGCCGCCTCATGGTGGTCAAGGAGGACGCGGACGGCGCGGCCGGGGCTCGACGCCAGGGCCCGGGGCGCAGCAAGAAGGCGCCGCGCAATGTGCTCACGCGGATGCCCTGTGAGTGCTGCGGCGCGGCGGGAGGTCTAGGGAGGGTTGGCAGAGGTCATCCGCGGGAGTCTCGGGGGTCGTGGGGGCGCGGGGAGGGTCGCCTGCGGGACACAGAGGCTCTGCACGAGTTGAGGACGAGGGAGAGTGACGACCCACGGGGGAAGAAGATCCGCAGGGGCCATTGATGGAGATCTGGAGGAGTGTTCCCAGGTAGAGGAGAGCAGCTGCAGAGGGGCTGCGGGAGTCCTGAGGCATGCGGAGCGATTGTGGGGCTTTGCAGACAGTTTGGGGAGCATTAGAGGTCTGCAGAAGTGATGACAGGTCTTGGGGACCCACTGCAGGGAGGTGAGCAGGAGACGTATGGAAGTTGTGTTGAAGCACAGCCAGTCTTAAGGTGAATGGGATCTGAGGGTCAGTCGGGTGGGGAGTGAGGCGATAGATCTGTTCTCATAGCGCGAGAGGCATTTCATATCCCAGCATGGGAAGTGACAGCTCCGCCTGGGGTGCCGTTTGCAAAATTGGCTGCGGGGGACCTGATCCACTTATGTTCGCATTAACTAAATCACTAGTGTTCGAATGCCGCAGACACAGGATGCCACCAAATCACAGGTGTGGTTTTACAGCCCCTGGCTGGGGCAGCATATCTGTCAGGCTCAAGTCGGCCGGTGTGCAGGTTGTTTTAAATTCTGAAGGTGTAAATGGCACAAAGGCATGTCTTGCAGCTTCCTAATCGATCCTCGGGATGAAGCTGTAAACAGCAAAGGTTCTAATGTGCTAGTTAGGTCTTGTATAAATGGAATAAAACAGCCTAGGGTTATACCCAATAGTTCTGACATGTGCCCTGTGAACACAATGACCTACTTAGCCAGTCAGAGCTTCTGTAGCCGGCTAATTAAAGCGTTACAATGTTAAAGGGACTTCTTTTGGACGAGAGGAGTGAACTCAGCAAGAGATTTTGTTTTGTCATGTTCCTAGAAATTTGTTTATTAGGAGAGAAGCATCCTGAAAAGCTGTGTACGGCTGCTGGTGCCTTTGTTGGGTGACAGACTGTACCAGAGCCTCCCTGCCCAGCTCCGCTTTTCCAGAGCTGACTTGTACAGCAGTAGCAGAAAGACGGAGTGTGCAGGGTTCTGGAACGAGCAGTCCCAGTACCTTCTTTTGCTGTGTGTTTTGCCACTGTTAGCTTGTTGAATTGCACCCAAGTCGCAAGAGTGTAACATTTATTCCCATCCATTCTTCTTACTGCCTTGCTACCAAGATTGTCAAGGGAAACACTGAAGAGTGTTTCTGGTTCTCCAGTGTTAGGACTGTGTGAAGACCAGCTTCATCTGGGTTCTCTTAAGTTCATTTCTGGAGTCAAGACCTCGTAGTAGTAGCCCTCATCACTGGAAAAACGTGAAGCAGT